AACCCCATCTTCAGGAGGTTTGCATATGGGGAGTAAGGTAGTAAACCGTGATGTTAAGTGATAGGGTGGATGAGTCATCAAATATCTTCAGAGTACAATGGAGGATGTAGCCAGCTCTGATCTGGAGGAGAGGGGTTGTTGCTAAGTGTGGAACACTGAGAGACATTTAAATTGGGAGTTTTCATAGAATATAGACTAGTCAGTGAAAGCTAGCTATTTTTTCTATACATAAAGTGCAGCAAAACTTACAAGTGTATATTTGAAACAGAGGGAGATTCTTCCCATGTTGCATGGGAAATTGTTCCAGGTTTCCCCAGTCAGAAGAGTTATCATTAAGAAAATGAAAGAGAACAAATTCTGGCAAGAGTGCTTGGGAAATGAAGCCTTATTCACTTCAGTTGGGAGCGGAAACTGGAAGAAGCACTGTGAAAATCAGTGTGAGGCTTTCTCAGAAAAGTAAAGACAGAATACAATATCATCTACCCATACCATTGCTGTACACTAGCTCAGCATACCTCGGACACTCTTGCTCAGCCATGTTCATTGCTTCCCTGTTTACAATGGCTAAAGAATGGAACCACCATCCATTTACAGACTCAAGGATAAAGAAACCATGCATATACACAACAAAATGTTATGTGCTCACAAGAAAAAAATAAGATTGTGTCATTCCAGGTGAGACGAACGACCTGGAAATCATCACGTTAAAGGAAATTACCAAACCCAGACACATATGTCACATTTTAGTTCATATGCAGGTTCTAGTTTCAGGCCTTTATATGATTGTGTATTTTTGTGTGTGCATTCACATGTATGTGTGGAGAGAGAATCTTGAAAGCATAAAAGGGAAGAAGAGATCTTTAGGGATGGAGGAGGGTGCCACAAGGGGAACAGAGTATGTGTGATGTGGAAGTAGAGACAGCAATTTGCAGAGGATAAAGAGGAACAGAAATTAGGGGTGGAGCATGGGGGAGGACAGTGGGAGAGGGTGATGAATAGAACAAATTAAAGTGACTTTGAGGAATAAACTACCCTAAGGAAACATTATTTCATAGGGTAACTTAAAATTTTAATTTTAAAAAGAGTTCTGCTTTCACTCTAAGTCAAATGGGATGTCACTGGGTGGGGATGGGGAGGTTTGCACAGATGAGGAACATAAACATTAAAGTCTCACAGGAGCTACTGTGATGATAACGGGAGGATGCATGGGGTGCAGGAGGGTAATCAGGACAGCCCTTGGGGTCTTTCAGTACAACGATGGCTTGCTGTCAGTCTAAAGACTCTAAGCACCTTAATTAAGGCAACATCCCTAGTGACTAATGGGACTATCAAATGACAGAGCCAGGGATAGGTCAATGTTGTACATAGTCTCAGAAGTGATCCTATGAATAAAACCAGGGTGCCAATGTGTAAGCCCCCGTTCTGAGCAAATTATGAAAAAACATATATATTTTCTTGCCATTTAGTCAGTCATCGGCCATCAAACCGAGATTTCTCTGTTTTTATGGAAATGGAAAGATATTGCTTAGGAGTCTGACAGTCTAAAAAAATGTTCATGGTTATTGAATGCAGGCACTGAGATCCAAAGGGGAGTTAAAGATGACTCCACGATTTGGGATCTGGAGAACATTCATTCATTCATTACCTTGGGAAAAATGGGTCTTACGAGGGAGTCAAGACATAGCTTTAGGCACATGGAAACAAAGGTGACTTTGACATACCCAGTAGTGATGGCAAGATGGCTGTTAACAAGGGGCATTGAAGTTGGTGAGTGAGTTCTTGACCTCCTGTTTCTTAAATATGTTGCTTGGCATAGGACGGTACATATTTTAAATACTACTTTTGCTAAGATATATTAATTTGTGTGCAGCAGCCCATCTTTCCCAATTAATGCACATTATACATGTGCAGGCTTGTTTTTACTAGAAATACACTTTGATTATATAATTGCTCTGTTTTAGGCTCTATGATAGGTCAGAAGTACTTACTCTAAATTGAAAATACTATGTAGTGTCTGTTGCTAGACTTATATGTATGAGCCCTCCGCTAGTTAAAAATTTTTTTTTCTGTGTCTGGCTCTGGCCTTCCCCATAGTGTTTATTAAGCTGTCCTTTTATTTCACTACTGCTCAGCTTTCACCCTCTCTCCAATCCTGGGCATTAAGTCCTTCCATGACTATTAATGGTGGAGAAGGGGCCACCATTGTTGTGAGCTGTTACTTGCTTTAATGACTTTAGCACTTACTCGCTGGTTTCCACTTACTCTCCAGCTTAGATATGTTCATCAAACACTGGAACACTGGTGTACATAAGAACTTGTATGTATGCTCGTGAATATCTGTAGACATGTACACACATGTACTGTATATGTAAATATATTGTAAGCAGGGATTTTTGCTTATTTTCCTTTAGAACTCAATAATTTTCAAGGGCACAGTAAGTAACACACAAACTATGGATGGTCTTTTTCATTTCTCATGTAATCTGCTTGATTGGCACACTTTAAGCATCACAGTGTGATCATTATCCAAGCTTTTATTTTTGCTACCATAGATAGCCACTATAGGAAAAGATGCTACCACTATCCCATTGCATAATGTTGAAGTTGAGCCTCGGATGGCTGAGGTATCTTGTCTGGTCACAAGCCATGCATGATAGAGCTGAGAGAAGAAGCCAGACAACCTAGCACGACAACTGGAACCTTTGTCTCTTCCAGCTCCTCCCTCTCCTGCAGAGACAGCACAGGCTTCTCAGCAACCACACTCATGGGTTCCGAAAGCAGAGGTGTTATAAGAATTCTGTTCCTTTAGCCTGTCAAAGCCTTCAGGCATCAGTGTGGGCCTAAATGTTTTCTTCTCAGACCAAGAGAATTACTGTCAATACCAATGATAGCAGCAGATTAATGACTGGTAATTCCTTAGGTTAATTTTCTCCTACATAAGATATTATTGTAGCAATTTCACAATAGAGGACTCTTTAAAATTGCTTTGGAAACATGGAAGTGACACTTTAATTTCTCTGAAAGTCACCTCAGAGAGTGAAACTTCTCCAGAAAGAAACGGTGACTGGAAGCCACGCCTAGGAGGGGTGGAGCCAAGGTCCCAAGGCCTGAGGAGCAAAACCCTCTCTTCTCATTCCTGGAGCAGGCCTACAGAAATTCCTGTTTTCCTCTGCAAAAGTTGTTTCTTCATATGTATTTGGACTGAGAACTCACAGAAATTCAGTCTTCTATCGGTCCCTACAGCAGAGGAGACAGAGGAGTTGGGATGAGAATTGCAGAACTGTGTGTTTCAACATGATAAACAGCATCATACCTCACATAAGGACCATGCATCTACATCAGGGTGCCATGGCAGCGAAGACCCCAGGGACAGAGATGCCAAGGATAGCATTTGAAGAAAGTGTTCATGGGTTAATGTTGCTGCATCTACTACACTAGTGCAACCTAACACAGAGAAGCATAAACAGCGCTGAACTACATGCAACTCATTCTGAGCACATGTATGGGTGGGCAGGGTGCAGGGGTCAGGGCGAATGCATGCGTGTTAGAATAAAATTACTTTTACATTAAAGATATCCTGTATTTTTGATGAGCATGTCTTGGTGTGGACAACTGTAAGTATCTAGGCAGCCTCTGTTTCTATCCTCTAAAGTGAGCATGTGTGTTGTAATGTTTACCTTCGGAGCTGTGCAGGAACACATTGAATCCCACGTGCATTTTTGGATATTGCTCTAAGGCAACACAACTCTCTTTCACTCATCTTCAAAATAGACCCCCAAAATAGCAGGAGGTAAAGAAATATGCTTATGAAAACTCACAAATTTGGAGCATAGTGTAACGGATACTCACCAATTTATTCATTTAGTGAGATGTGTTGAATATTGCCAGGGCAGTGTGGATGCAGACATGGATATAGGAACAAAGAAATGCACACGTGAAAAGCTTGGAGAATTGCTTCCTCTGGGTGGGAAGAAGAAAAAGGAGAAACTCAAAGGGCAAGAGAGGCATTGACTGGGTTCTGTGTTCACCAGTTGTATGGGGAGCGCTATGAAGAGGCAAGTTGGAAGGCACAAGGGAAAGGAGAGAGAGCCTCATTGTGGGGTGCAGAGATAATTCAGTATGGTGACCATGGAACAGAGCAGGGAAAGATGAGAGAATTGGAGAAGAAGAATGGACAGACCTTGGACACACATTGCCTTTCCACAGTTCTTTACCTCTGCCTAGCTATATGTGGGTTTCTCCACCAAAGGCTCTAGTCAGGTGTCCGAACCTAAAGACATCTCCATTTTCCTTTCAGCAACGCATTCTTTCTTGTTTCTACTCCAGAATTTACGGCCCAAAGCCCATTTTCCGTCTCTCCATCCGCACAGCCCTTTCTGCAACTCTTGGGTCGCACCATTAGCTGAAAGGTCTGTAACAAGACAGGAGTCCACCAAAATGTTAGAGAAAACAGATTTAATGATTTAAAACAGTGCCTTGCTGGAATATTTGAACTCGGTCTAGGAAAAGTTAATATTAACCCTGAAAGCAAGCGTCCTGCCAATCCAGAGCCCTCGATGTGCAAGCCGCATGCGTTTTATTTTGTAACAGAACGTTTTCTCCTGTTCGTTCTGTAAAAGCAGCACTCACAGGTCCACGTGACTGACTGGGCTCCACACAGCTCAGCTCACATTTAGAAGGCATTACCAGAATACCATACCCGTAGGAAGCAAGAAATCAAGCTGTCCAAAAAATCAACAGTGACCTAACTGCTCCGGGAAATCCAATAGATGTGTGGCAGTCAGGGCGCTGAAGAAAAGCCAGGTTTGCCCCAGGCATTCTGAGGGTAGGAACTTCCTCCTCCAGTGGGAGAAACTGCCCAGAAAGGCAGAAGAAGCACAATTTACATACACAGCCAGACTAATCTGTCACAAATCTTAGTCACAGCCTGCCGACTTGAGACACCCTGGGAAATCCCTGTTGCATGGAAGCCAATAAAAGCTAAAATCACATTTCTCCTCTTGCATCCTTATTCTGTGTGATTAGCATAGAGTCACTTCTGCTACTGAGAACTTGTTATTTCTATCATGAGATAACAGAGTCTTATGGTTTTCAAAGTCTGGGTGCTCTCATCCTAAAAGGCACCACAAGAGATTTTCTTTTTCTCTTTTTTTTCTTCTGCCCTACAAGACTCTGAGTAAGACAGCTTGCTCGTCTTCCCCAGGCATGGCTGGAATGAATGCAGCAGGACCTTACATGGAGCATGTGGAGGTAAGAACATGCATCATGCTTAGGTGCCCACCCAGAACCAAGAACACGATGGTAGATAGTGTGATGATTAAGACCCACTCTGCATTTTAACCAGTGTTATTTGACCACTGCCCTGCCTTTGAACTCACTGGGACAGGTTGCTTCCACTGAATGACAGCCTCACATCTGCACAGATTCCTCTCCTCTGCTGTCTGTTTTACATTTTCTTCTCATGAGGAAGAGTTTAGTTTGGTATAAAATTTAAGAGGAATATTGTAAACATGTGTTTAGAAATAGAACATTTAGCAGTAAATGACGTTAATTATTAATATCTTCAGTTGATGCTATAATTTTGTTCACTTACTACAGTAACATTCAGTATTTCAATGACTTAATTATTGTACCTTCTTAATGTTTTATTGTATTTTTATTGATTTATTTTGAATCTGTGCATACACATGTGCCATGGAGTGACTGTGGAGGTCAGAGGACCACCTGCCAGACTCAGTCCTCTCCTTCTCCTGTGTGGGCCCGCGGGAACAAACTTAGTTATTTATCTCAGTGGCCTGTGCTATCACCAACTGAGTGAACTTACTGGATTTTCATATGTTTCTTTAAACAGATAGCCAAGATATATTGAGAAACTAAATAGAATCCATCTATTCCTTTAGATATTTAATTTGTTATGTTACAACTTAAACAACTTAGCAGTTGACTTGGATATTTTGATAGGGGATGAAACACCCCGATATTTTCAACACGGACTGCTTTCTGCAGAAAATAATAATAAGGAATTGTTTAGAATGAATAATTGTTTTAGTAGAAGGCCCTTCCTAGAACCTAATGACTAAATATCTTTGCATGGACTGTGATAACCCATGCCTTTGTTAGCAACCAAAATGAATAACAAATACACACAAAAACTCACTCCAAACATGAATTCCTTTGTGTTTGATTGACTCTGCTTGGTTTTAACTTGTACCCAAGGTGTACAAGCTATGGTACAATCCCGATTAACCTCTCTAGAAATGACTGGTGATGTGTTTCATCCACAAGTTCTTCCTAGCCTTCGTGTTCGCTGTCATCTCCTTTCAGTGACCTCTTTTAGCATTGTTGTTTGAGAATCTTGTCAGCTAGTATTCCTATGGTTACAAGTAAGTTTTCTTAAATATTTAGTACAGAAAACTTACTTATAAAATTTCAGAGTCAACATGTTTTACAGTTTTTGCATAGAGAAATTATGGAGATAGAGGATGCATGGAACAACAGGAGCAAGACCATCCAAATGTTTGCTACTTAAAATTTTTACATCACAAGCAGAACAATTTTAGTGGACCTAAAGTTCGCATTTTCAACCATGATGTTTGATGTTAAGAAACGTGTTGAATATCTTTGACTAGAATATTCACTTTTGACAAAGTGAATATCTTTGACTAGAATAGTGTTCAGAGTGCTTTACACTTCACAGGCTCCCCTGTGATGTTGTCATGCCCCTAGGGAGAATCACTAGTTTAGAATCAACTTCAGGGCACCTCTGCCTTGCTAAGTGCCAACATGCAGGTAAGATGAGCCTATAGGACTTTCCAGACAAAGGATATTTCATGCCTTACAGCACTAATACAGAGTGGGTCCAGTTCTTAGACTCACCCTCAAAAGAGAAAGTTCAGTTATATTGCCTGACATTGCTCCCACCTAGGTTTTGATGTCACACTTCAGATTTAGCCAAATGCTTCTTGAGGTACTAAGCTTGTGTGTTGACCAACAGAAGATTGTCCTTAAAATGTGGCCTGATGAGAAGACAACCCTAAAGTAAGAGAAGTTTAAAAAACAAAGAACAGCATCCATTCTGTGCAAGACACCATCAAACCCTGAAACACTGAGACATGGATAAGCCAGAAAACTAGTTTTATAAATTGTTCCCAGTGAAAGAAGACCTTGAAAGTCTCTGACCACTTTGGTGAAGACCAGTAAGTCTGGACAAGGTTCTTAGTTCTTTATGAATGACTTTTGAGGTTGAGGTTCATGGTAATTGCTGTGCCTGAAACTGCAGAGAATTCAGGTCTGCCCTGATTACCCAGTTCACTGAATTATTTAGTGACCTGGATGGGATGTACATAGACTACTGAGGTACAGCAAGGAGGTAGTCTTCTCTGTGAACTTTCCTGAAGGTGGTCCATTTACTAGATGGTGGGCAGTTTCTAGAAATTCAGTCCCCTTTTTTTGAATAATTATCTCAATCCCTAGGTGGAAAGTAACTGAAGACAAAGGCTATTAGTTCTCATTATGCCATAATTTATTACTGATCTAAACTGGTATTCTAATGCTCTGCCCCAAAAGGCTGGCTAAAATACATAGGGCCTGATAATTTCTACCCAATTCTACAACATATTTGTGCCATGGCCATGAAGGAATAAATTTATTCACATTTTTAATCATTTTGATGCATTTTAACTGTATGTATTAGACTTTCTAATTTACAATTTATTTGTGAATTGCTTTAGTAATTAATTAAAATAAATGAATAGTAAATAGTGTATTAGGTTGGTACAATATCTTGTCACTGTGATGAGAAGTTCGTATATTGAGTGCTGGGAATCAAACTCAAGGCCTTGTGCATGCTAAGCACATGCTGTATCACAAAGATACATATCTCCAACCCCCATATCAAATAATTTTTTTTTTTTGCAAAACACAAGATTCGGCTAAATGCATGAGGTTTTTGAAGAACAGAACCAACCTCTTCTCTTTATTTTATAGGTTGCTTAATCTCAATCTTTTGCTTTCTTTTATTAAAGTGTGCTCCATCAAGAAGAAAGAACTCAACAAATTCTCTTGAACAAAAGATTAGGCACTTGGAAAAACAGAGACAAGAGGTAATGTGAAATATTGGATAAAGTCACATAGCCATGTGCTATGCCTGAGAATTAAACCAAGATATCTTTAATTTCTTTTTATCTCTGTCATTAAACAGAGTATTTATCTCTATAATACTGGACTACACTATTTTTAAGAGAAAATAAGGCTTTTAGAAATCATGGTTTGCGCTATGTTGAATGGAAAAGTGTTGATGTCATTAATGTGGTAGTTATAACCTGTCTTTTCCAATTGTTGATGTACTTACCACTTGCATCATAGATGCTTATTGACCATGACTTTGCAAACTGATATATGATGAGATTTGAACTGTTAAAACCTTATGCACAGTGGATTTAATTTCAGTGACTTCCTGAGTTAAGCACCTAAATGAGTGTGGGTTATAAAACACTGTCTTCCAGGCTGGAGAGATAGCTCAGTTGTAAAGATACTTGTTACTATTTCAGAAGACCCAAGTTCAGTTCCTGGCATGCACATGATGGTTCGTATCTTCTGTAACTCCAATTCCAGGGGATCCTATATCTTCCTCTGACCTCTAAGGGCACTGGGCATACATGCAGTTCACATACATACAGGCCAAACACCCAAACACATATAATAAATATATATATTAAACAAATAATATAATAAAAATTAAAAATTAATCTTAAATAGAAAGCACATAAATAACATAAGAAGAAAGGTGATTTCTGAGGTGATACTGGGAATTAGCAGATACTGTCAGTTGTACCGTGGCTGTGTTCTGGGTCTAATGGGTGCTAGAACTCCTTCCCCTTCTCAACAGCAGAGGAGGAGAGCAAAGTCGAGGCATCCCACTTTGGGTTTATTTGCTGACTCACTCTGCACAGTTCATCTGCCTTGTTTTCCGCTTCCGCACCTTCTCTTCCTCTTTGATGCTGGATAGCACTGTGCCCCGGAAAATCACTAACCTGTTGCAGAATGATGTCACCATGGCATAGTCCTTCTGGGCAATGAACCAAACACACAGCAATGAGCAGACTACTACACAGCTGATTACTTGTAACTGTCAGACTTTTCACCACAGGGATTGCCATTTTGGATTAGGCTTTGTTGCTGTTTTTGATTGTTTGTTTGCTTTTGTTTTTTGTTCTTTTGCATTTGGGTAGACAGTTTATGTTTTTGTTTGTTTGTTTGTTTTTTGGGTTTTTTTTTTTTTGGACATGGTGACTACCTTCTTGATGTCTGCCTCATGCTGCTAATTGTTGAGATTTTTTTTTGAACACAGAATTGTGAACTTCTCTTAGAAAACAATGAAATACAGACCAGGATGTTATTTCTTCCTTCTGGTTAGCAGAAAAATTTGAATATATTTATAATATTGTCTGAGAACAAAAGCCATTACTTCTGGAAATTTACAAGTTTAGAAAGATGTTATTGTTCTTTCATCCAGGAGGAATCAACAATATGTCTATAGGCTATAAAGATGGCTCAGTGGTTAAGAGCACTGGTTATTCTTCGGGGGGATTCAGGTTCAAGTCCCAGCACTTATATGGCAGCTTGCAACTGCCTTTACAATTCTGTTCCAGTTCCAGGGCACCTGACACCTTCACACAGACATACATACAAGCAAAGCACCAATACACATAAAATAAAAATAAATAAATCATAAAAAATAAAGCAAGTAAATAATCATAAAATTAAAGATTTAAAAAATATTTACATCCTAAAGCATGCCCCTGCAAGTAAATGACTGCCAATTAGTAGAGTTTGGACTTAAACAAAAATTCTTTGAAAAAATTGTCACAAGAATTCATTCTAATAGCCATAGTAAACAAACAGGAGAATATGGAAAGAGACTCTTCATATAATAATAATTCTTACAAAAATACTTACAGAGTTTAATCAGACTCTGGATGAATTAAACAAAGATGAAAACTAAAATAAGAAAACTTGAGATTTTCTAATAAATGCCTCAGCTGACTTGTCAAGACATGATTTAACACTTAATAAATCTTTATTCATGAACCAGTTATGAAAATAGGAAAATGTGTCCACCGAAATAGCCATCAGGGGTGCTGTCGGGGATACAGCCCAGCATTACTACTTAGAGCTTGAGATTTTTCCTTAGCTTGTAGGGACCACCACTAGGGGAAGTCAGATCTTTGATTTCACCATAGAAAAGAATTCAGAATAAGTCAATAAGAACTGGAGTCTACCTGCAAAGGAAGTTAGGCTTAAACAGGGGGTTAATAGGAAGAGAAACTCTTGAAAAAGACAAAGGCACACTCCAAAGTGTGAGTATGGGCTCCTCACAGGAGAGCTGAGCTTACTCTCCTAGTGGTAGCCATGCATAGTATTTTGGTGATTCAAGTTTAAACTCACAGAATCCCCCCCACACACACACACATCTAGTTTGTAAGAGAGGTTACAAGATGGCCCTCCTGGAGCCCTGGAAGGACTGTACGCTGATAAAAATAAACAGTGGCTCATAAAGTTTGCACAGAAGAGGCTAAGGCATACACCGTACTGTAAATGGAATTTCTAGGGGGATTGCTAGACAATCGTGGACTTACAGCAGGAAAAGAGGACAACCATTGACACTCGGGCCTTGAGCTGTTTTAACAATCTGACTCAAAACCTCTCTGTGTAATAGGAAATGTGTCTTTATATAGACTCCTTACAGTAAACATTGGAGGTCTTAACTTAGCATAGCCAAGGAGAAAGAGGCTTCCACACAACTCTGGGGTGAAGGGCTCCTCTCTACACATCTTTACAGTTCTCTCTTTCTCATCATCATAATTGTAATTTATGCTCTGGCAATACATAAGCAACCTGTGTACGGCAGTTCTCCAGTTGTTCCTATCCAGGGCAGTCCTAGACACTTGTGTTATTTTCATACCCAAGCTTCCACAGTCTTCCTTTATGCTGTCCATCATTTTTTGGGCCTTCTTTGCCTTCTCTCTATTTAACCTGCCTCAAAATCATGCCAACCCAACCAGAACTTGCTAGAAGAGCTGCCCTCATCCATGACTTCTAAAATCTCAATAAGCTCAAACTACGATTTCACATTTCCTAAACTTACAAATGGATGGAAATCTTTTGTTGAATTGCCAAATTTTAATAATTTCAGCTCCTGGAAGTCAATCAACAATGGGACCAGCAGTTCCGAAATATGAAAGAGTTATACGAAAGAAAGGTAAGAAACTCTTCATGTAGGATTTTCTTTAATACTCGTAGTAGGGTGCCAAAAGATTTTTATGAATCCCTACCTATGGCAAATGAGGGGCAGAGTTCCACCATAATGTTTGGCCTCTTGCACTGAGGATAGATACAATGTCAGTAAGTTGTTGGAATGTAGCCTTGGCTCTGTCCAGGAGTTCCTGTGAGCATTCCCAGCTCTGAGTTCTTACTGAGGCTAAGGTCAGGTCAGGGAAATGTCTATCAGAGAATCAGCTAGCTTCCATTCATAAAGAAACAGTAATAATCGCCAGGATGGAAGGGGAATGCCCCCTTCTGCTTTCTTTAAAGCGTGTGGAGAAGCTTTTTAACCAGAAAGGAACCTTTGGGAGAAGTTTTTACTTAATCGGTAAAAGTTGTTATCATTTGAAAGTATTCCATTTTCAAAAAGACAGAAGAGAGAAAGTGAATTCCCCTAAATAATTCAAAAGGAAGGAAACTGACCACAGTAATGCAACATCTCTTGCATTTTCTTCCTCATTTGATAAGAATTAAATGTAGAAGCAAGAAGATTGTGTCCCACTGCAGTAGTTTGGATACCTTGTTCTATACATCTTGGACCAGTCTATGGCTACAAATTTTAATGCCAGTGTTCCCAGAAAGAATGTTACCACAGCGTCCCAGGGTGGCCAGTAAATCCAGAGAAAAGAACAAATTGGAGGAAGCATCATGTCCGAGGTTCTAGCGCAGGGCTCTAATTTGTCAAGAGGAAGAACCACAGATATCCTGGCAAGTTTGCCCTTTGTAGAGGACCCTACTCACTTCCTGACCACCTGAGGCTTTGTCTTGCCCCCTGCCTCCCAGAGGCCAGGAACAAAGAGCCCTACAGTTTGTTCTCTGGCTCCTTCATCCTTTGAAAGTAGGGCGGTTTGAAGAAAGGAGGGACTAGTAGAAAGCCCTTTGGGAAGAAAGTGTGTGCTTTTGTATGGAGGAAGCCCCCTCTGCTGATGTGTTTTAGGGGAGAGCTCTTCCTTTTGGGACTTCCTGGACAGGGTGGGGTGGGGCGCCTCTATTCCCAAGTGCACTGGGCTTGACCGTGGTGTAATAATCTGCAACTCTTTCCCTCCCATGATCCCCTAAGGTCCTGGAGCTGCAAACGAAATTGGCGGCCACAGAAGATATCCACACCATAGAGAAGGAACAGAAGGAAAGCATGACAGAGGGCGACAGGCAGCTAGAGGTGGGTAGCCAGTGACTGGCCTCTAGTTGAGCAAGATAAGAGTGCTTAAAAACAGCTCTCTAAGGTGCCACGTGCAGGCTCAGAGCACAGAGCAAGGTGGGTGAGTGGGTGGGGATGTGCATTGCCTTCAGTGGCCAGGAAATTCGAAACTGATTGGGTGAGCACTCTCCAGGGCTTTGTAGCCTCTCCTGTGACTTCCTTTTATTGCTAGTGACAAAGTCTCACCATGTACCCCAGAAGTGCTACCTTTCTGTCCTAGAATTGACTTCTTGCCCAGGCTGGCCTTGAACCTACTATTCTCCAGCCTAAGCGTCCCAAGTGCTGGAATGGCAGAAGTTCTTTTCCACACCTGGGTATACAGAACACTTTAAAAGTCACTTCACACTCATTATCTCATTCAATATCTGAAACCCAGCCTTGAACAGGTCAGCCCTAAGAACAGGGTGTCCTGAACCGAGGTTCTACGCTGCAAGGGTGAACAGGGACAATGAGAGGAGTTTCTTCTGGTGCAGGCTTTTCCCTCAGGAGTTGGACTTTATGACGTATATAAAGGGGATGTTAAAGTCTAATGACAACCCTCTGAAGCATAGTAAGAATAGTAACAAGCATATGTATTCTCATGTGTGGTCTTGCTGCTGTCATAGTGAAGGTAGAAGTCTGACAAGACTGTTACCAGAACCTCTAGGGTACGAGTCTGGTTCCAGGTGTCCTGTCTCAGCCACTTGTGCTCAAGAGACAAATTAAAGGGACAGTTAATCATGGAAAGCAGAGAGATGAGATTTAGTCGGTGTACCCATGTTGGGAAGAACAATAAAGAGGCCCAGTGACCTCAAGAACACCTTCAGGGTCAGGGTCCTGACATGAGTTTCAGTTTTCAACAGAGGTGAAGCAGCGTCTGCAGCTAAGCAGTCCTGGCTGGGGCACAGTTCTTCGCAGATACTGTCACCGTCCTGCCTCAGCCTGCCCTGCAAGATGGTCTGAAAAACTGTCCAAACCCTACAAAATCTCTTGGGCTAGCACCAGGCTTCATTCCCAGCATGAGATTCCTGGGGGAAATCCCACATCCTTGGAGACATTATCTCAGTAGTCCGAAAGTCAAAGGGAGGACTTGGGTGTCTCTGTGAACATCTTGGCTCCTGCCAGGAGCAATACCTCCTATTCCACAACCCAGGTTGTCTCACCTTGCTGAGGTTACAGACAGGGTGAAGCAGGAAACAGGGTTCTGACAAGCCCCTTTCTGGCATGCAGCACACACTGCCTCCTCCAGCTACACCCTAGCTTGGAATTTCAGTAACTTTTTCCTCATGGACTTGGGAACATTTTCTTCATATAACAAAATAATATTCTTGTGATTGACTCATCTAAATGTGTATGTTCAACCTATTAGAGCAAGTGGTGATGAGATATTTTCGCTTCTAAAGAAAATAAGTTGCCTGAAATTGATTTCTTAAATTTAGTTATCATATTGGATGTGACTAAAATGATATTTGAATCCCCTGCTTTAGCTACTTCTCATCTTGAGCTATATTCTGCAATATTTATTTTTCTAGACTGGATTCTCATTAAGGATCCAATTTACTCCACCAAATTTTGCTACCTACTGTGTAGAATGAAGAGCTGAGAGCTGAGAATCAGGACTTTCAAGTGTGTAAAATGGTGAAGTTCTTGGAGATTGTCCGAGGCACTGAGCGTGCTGGCCACTGGAAGGCTGGATTTCTGCCTTTTAAGGGTAGTTGTGGCGATGTTGAGGTCTGAATATTTATCTGCAGTGAAGGTCCTTATTTGTCTAAGATTTCTGGTCCTTGTCTCTGATATAGAATGGTGCAGGACTGGCCTTGAGCTACTTAGCATCAGTTTATTTCAGTAACATTTCTTTTTCTTTTCATTCCTTTTAAATGCTTTTAAGTAGTCCCTTGGGAATAGGGGTAGATTGCTCTGCAGATCTGTTGATTTGACTACTGAATGTGAGGATTAGAGTTTTCATGATTTTTCTGGGGTCACTACAGTATTACTAAGTTTTCATAAAGGAAAGTATGTTCAGTAGCTCTGACCTCCAGGCTGTGAATATTTCCAGGCCATGAATATTGCTCAAAGGAATGTTAGAGAAAACCTGGCGGGTCCTGTTTGTATATGTGTGGTGGATGGCTGTCTGCCAGAAAGAACCATTCTCTTCGGATTTCTGCCTTATCCTTCTCTTTGGGAGTTTTTGATCTGGGTCGTGTTTTCTTGTCTTTTTCTTCATAAGGAAAGGGAAAACCTAAGGGAAGAGTTGCGAGCCCTGAAGAAGGAGAATTTGCTGCTGAAGGAAAACAATGCTCTCGCAAATAGGAAGAAAGAACATTATGCGTGTGAAATTAAACGACTCAATAAGGTAGCCGATCAGGGGGCGGTGAAATGAGCATGGAGGGTAAAATGATAAACTCCACAGCAGCTGAGTCCTGCCGTGTCACAACAGAATGTGTGCCTCATCCTACGGCTCCTGAGGTCCCTCTCTGGTTCACACAGAACACCTAGCCACAGCTGGCAGTCCCGTTTGACTAGGATGCTTTGGGGAATTTGTGTCACTGCAGAGGACCATGAAAAGGAGAAACAAAGAGAAATTATATACGTCAGTAGGATTTTTTTTTTTAAGAACCACATAACGGCACTGGGTGTTTGTGAACAATAACGTATCTCTTGGTCGACCACAAAAGCTTCCTGAGGAAGCAAGCTGTTCTGTAAAATGAAGGCTGTGGAGCTGGGTGTGATGCATGCGTGATGCATGGACGTCTGCTTAGTGCCAGATTCAAGACTGAGATGTCTGATGCCTGGGGAGCCAGCCTAAGTCCATTGTGAGTAGGAACTGACAGAAAGAGGCAAGGCTTGGGGTGCCAACACGCGGCTTCATGGTTAAGCTCAGAAGAGAAACTAAATTGTTGTAAAGGGATGATGATGAGAATGTGAATGTGTGCGTATGTTTCTATGTATGTGTGTATGTGTGTATCTGTATGTGTCTACGTAATATGTGGGTGCGTGCGTATATCTATGTGTGTATGGGTTTGTATATATGTGTAGGTGTGTATGTGTATATATGTCTGTCTGTCTGTGTATATGTGTGATATGTGCATGTGTGATATCTATGTGTGTAGACGTGTATATGTTTGCGTATATGCATATATGTGTTTATGTGTACATATGTGTGTATGTGCATTTGTGTGTATATGTGTGCATAAGTTTATATGTGTGTGTATATTTATGTAGATCGATTAATGAACTAATGTGATATTCTGGGGAATGAGAACACTAATTCAGTACAAAAACAAAAACCCCATATTGTTGTTATTTCAAGAGGTAAGCCAAGGGTAAACACAGGAATGCTGAAATATATGGAAGAGTTGAAATCTACATCACTCAATTAGGGATTTCATGGCCAAAGTAACAGAAGTGATCTTCTATAGCAAAAGAGAGCAGTTGACGGCCTTCGCACTGTGTTCAGTCCTGTAACTTTGGACTGCACATCAGCCCATGCTCAAAGGTGCTAATAAAGACCCCAGGTGAGCTGTACGCTGGCATCATCGACAGGATGCTTGCAAACCAGATTCAACATTAGGTCTGCTTATAGCACGAGTCATTCTTCAAGAAAAAAAAAACAGGAAAATAAAGAAAGACTTTCAATCAGCATTTCATCCTTCAGAGAAAAAGAAAGTGTTCAGACACAAAGTTTTAGGGCAATTAATTCTGTATCTTTTTCTTTTTATCCTTTACTGGAAAAATTACTCCTCAGAAATCAGAGGACGTAGGATAACTGCAGTTACATGTGAAATTCTAGCTCATTTTGCCATACGAATGCAAAAAAGTTCATTTCTGTCATATGAAAGCCTCAAAACTAAACGAAAAGCCCCCAAATCCAAACAAAACAAAAACAAAACAAAAGCCCTGTGCATATAAACAGACAAGAGTTTTCTATTTTGTTTCATTTCCATATGCACATTAGTCTTTGCTATTGGTGATTGTGGTTGACAGAACATTTTTAAATTCAAAGAAATAGGCAGTTATGGTGCACAGCTCTAACCTCAGGAAGGCCGAAGCACGAGGACGTGCTTCAGGTTCAAGGCCAGCCTGATCTCCATAGCTAGCTCCAGGCCAGGCAGGTATATCTCTAAGGAAAAAAATAACTTTATAATTTGGTACCTAGAAACATAAAACCTCATTAAGAAAAAATAATTTAACAAAAGTCATGTCTTTACGCAATTATAACTTTTCCAAAGAATTTTTTCTTCACATCTCAATTAAAATTATATGCCCTCATTCCAGATACAATCTTTGATTTTTTTTGCATTTATTATTGCTACTCAGTACATAATAATGTACACTTATCATTTATCATCTCTGCTCTATTGATCCACCATTGATTGTAAGCTCCTTGAGTTAGGTTTGGGCATAGTAGGAACCCTGGTGGCCACAGTAAATACAATGTGTGACTATAGGACATATTAAGGGCTCATAAATATGTCTTGCTTCTTTTTAAAGTAGAAGATAAATAAAGTTTTTGGTTAAAAACATAAAACATATTATATATTAGCTATTCACATAGCAAAGTAGCTATATACAGTTTTCCTATGCATCCTCATGGAGGAGGCTTGGTAGAAGCCAGCCATCATGTAGCCCAGACTTTTTCTGCTTTGGTCACTGAAGTTTCCTGAGTGTCTAGAACAGGGCCTTTGTCACACAAAGTTCTTAAATGAATAGATTAGTAAGTAAACAACATATGCAATAATCAGTTTTAGGCCTGAGAATCATCATTTAACAAGCATCACATTAACATAATGAATAATTTATTGCTCATGATTAATCGTGATAAATATAAAAGAATGCTTCAAACCTCAAGAGATTTCATCCCACACTGCTTAACTGAAACTGTTCCTTAAAAGCTTAGATATAAAGTGATGATTTCTGAGATTTTTCTTACTCATTTAGTACATGTATTAGTATCTAATGAGATACACATTATTAATATTGCAGTTACTACTATTGGACTAAATTGCTTGTTTATTTTTATTTATATGTGTGTGCCTTTCTGTTTTTATGTGCTCCATGTGTTTGAACTGCCCTCAGGTTCCAGAAGAAGGCACTAGGTCCCCTGAAGCTAGAGTTATAGAATAGGGAATAGGCTGATGTGAGTGCTACCAACTAAGCTCCAGGGCTCCTAAAAGGTCATGTGTTTGTATTTGGTGATGAATGCTTTTCTTTCTTTCTTTTTTTTTTACTATTATAATAAATATGGAGATATTTGAGTATCCCTCAGAGCATGAATAAGAGTCAACCTTTAGCTTCTTGCTAACTCACTCATTCACAATAGACACAAGGTTAAGAATGAAAACAGGAAGAGACAGTAACACAAGTAATTAATATAAACTTTTCAAATGTGTGCTTATATTCAACTCAGTTCATTTACTTGGAAGAAAATACCCCAGGATTTTGCCAATACCAAGTTCTTACAGAATTGTTAGATACTTACCCAGAGTGAGAATTGAGACTAGTCAGCTAGCGCCATCCTGTGCAAAATTGAACTGTCTGCCACCTAATCATTTTGGGAATACAGGGATCATTTAGTGTATCAGAACTGAGAGTGAAAATGACTAATCTAGAACAGGTTTAAGGAAGTCGGAAAGCACCAACAAATGTTGATTCAACTCACGTTTCATGCATGACTCATTTTAAAATTTCCTGAATAGCATTGAGGGGTAAACCAGGAAATTAAAATAAGGTATCTGCAGAAGTTGTCTAGATGTGGGTCCTGGGCACTGAATTGGCACATTTGATCGATCATTGCCATTCATTTGCGAAACCCTCTCTGAATCCTCTCTACTATCACTTACACAGCATGAAATTATGTTCGGCTCTCCTGATATTTCCTAGAATTGTGTAGCTTGTGCATGTCACAAAAGGATCGAGTGCCACTTCTGTTTCACACTTGTAAGGATTCCTAATACCATTGTAAATAAATTAGTAAATTAAGGCAAAACCCAACTTTTGAACAACTTTGTTCTTTCTCTAATTTCCTCCTGGAGGAAGAAAAAAATAAGTTGTTTCTCCTGAAAAGTTCTGAAATGTACACTCTGTCAGGCTGGGTGGTATGTGTAGTTCCAAGACATGCTATTAGGGAATTCCAAGTCTGGCAACATCTGTTCAATACTACAAGCTGGCTTTTCCTGCCTGCTTTATGACCATACTGTGTAGTGGTGGGGAGAGTGCTCTGCCGCCAAGGTCATGCATTAACCTCACTGAAGTTCTGCAAGCTGTGCACAGAGGAAGTGAAGTCATAGACCTCTGAGATGAACCCTTTCTATGCCTGGAGTACTCTCTTGACTAACAAATAAGCTGTCAAAATGTGGTGCTGAGGACACTCACGGATGGGAATGTCTGTCACAACAGCATCATTTTTTTTAAACTCATTGTGAATTGTAAGTCTCTAAACAAGAGTTTATGTTCCTGCTTAATCTAAGTATGAGCATAAGGCTGGTGATATAGGATGAGAAGTCACTAGCAAAAACAAGTTCTATTTGCCTCTTAAAGGTATAGCACATACCATCCCACACCATCATGAATAAGTGCTTTGATAAATCACAAATATGGCTGGCTAGGCCAAGGAATAGAGTGCTTGAAAATGCCAGAACAGAAGAGAAATGCAGCAGGGCCTAGAGGCAGTGGCTGTACAATTGGCCATGTGGTATGGATTGCCTTGGGGACATGGTGTGGTTAAACAGCAGTGTTCTTAGGTCCCCTGTTAGACCTGTGGATTCAGAGGCTCTGGAGACCTGTCCACGGAGGCTATGTCTGCTCTCTCTGATGCCCCCAAATAGAAAGATTAAAGAGATAGAACATATACTGGAGGGAAAAAGAGACTCTGCAGAAGACTCTTGCTTTTTTTCTTTCTTTAGCTAGGTGACAGGAAGGCCAACATAGTAATCCCCTTCAACATAGTGGAGGTTGAATAACACACACATCATTATGGGAAGACAGAGATTTGGAAAGTATGCACATATGCAGAAAACCAAAAGGAAAAAAAAAACGCTAGCTAGCCATGTAGTGAGCATTAAAAAGAAATGCTTCCTCTTGTACTGGAGGGAGTTGTACCAATTATGAAATAATTGCTAAGGTCATTGTAAACCTCCTATCAACAGTGGGCTTCATTTTTACCACAGGCTCTTCAGGATGCCTTGACAATCGGGAGCGCTTCACTTTCTGAGGGCTCCAGGAAGTGTACAGGCAGGTGCAGCCGTGCGGAGATGAGAACAAAGGTGGAAAGTCACAAGCACCAGGTAAGAGGCAGAGGCAGGAAGTGGAGTGATCATGGGAGAGCACAGGGCTTGCTGTTCATGTTCCTTTGGACAGATCTGTCTGTCTTTCGATTGGAATGGTAGGAAGGATTTTCTTATTTAGTTAGAGTGATTCAATTTGAAAACCAAATAGGAAAAATGGAGATGGGTTTCTTCAGTTCCACTGTTCATAGATGAATTCATAAAAGAGGAAATTGAACTTTAGATGGGCTAAGGGGCTTCACCCAAGATCACTCAGTCAAGAGAGTGGCAACTGCGTTGCCCTGGTGTGAGATTCTGTCAGCAATGAGTCTCGAGAGTCTCACATAGATATAGTGTATTTCTACAACACTTTAAACTCTAGCCCTTTTCAGAGAATGGTAGCAGTAGGGCCATTCCACTGTAGCTGCTGACCTCTGATTGGCTTTGCAGTAAGTGTAGACATTTGCTTTTTTTTTTAATTTAGTGCCATTTATTTATTTGTATGTAGATGTGCAAACACATATGTTACATGGTTTGTGTGTAAATCAGAAAAAGTTGGTTTTCTCCTTCCACTGTGCATTGAATTCAGATCTTCAGACTTAGAGACAGACTCCTATCCCACTGCTGAGTCCTTCTGCAAGTCACAGTAAGAGTAGCTTGGAAAAGAGTTCTTACTGAAGGACTCACCGGCCATCAGGCTAGCTCAGCTCCTCCCCTCTCTGGGTAGATGATCAACAGTTTGCTGACAGATGTCTGTTTCATCCATCCACTACCTCAGCCTCTTTCCAGCTCACCAAGTGAACTTTGTGAGGAAATAGAGGATCTACAAATTGAAATGTAAAGTTCGATCCTTCTTTCCCCTGCAAGGACAAGTATCTGGGTACGTAGTTTAGTTTGGGTTTGATGCAGACAGTGGCAGGTATACAATGGCTCATAAGAGCAAAGATGTTATTTTGGATGTGTTTGGATGGCTCTATTGCTAATGACCCTAATTTACATTTTAACCATTTATTTCCTAACTGAACAGCTCTAATGGACACATCACCAAGTGCCACATAAAATGTGTGTGGTGTGCAGAATTCTGTGCTTCACTTAGGAGCTATTGCCAGCTAGCTCTGTTTTAGAACTTGAAATAGTGTTCAGACATTAAAGCTCTTCATGGATACAATTGACTTACTCCACCATAGCAGCGCCTGACTTTGGCCACTGGTCCATGAAGGATGATGGAACAAAATAATAAGTAAAGACAAATTTTAAAAACTATCTGTGTGGCTCTACTTTTGAGCTCCTAATGTGTGCTCAAAAATAAAGGTTTGTAAACTGGCTCTTCTAACAACCAAAGATAAAATTATAATCATAGGTATCTCTGTATCTACCATGGGGAATTATTCATGAACAGAGATTAAGAAAGCTTTAGTCTGGAAAAGCACAGATAGTATCTTTTAAAAAAATAATTAAAATATCAGAAAGGAAAAATAAGTTCTTACTCCGTGTTAGACAGACTGAATTCTCAGGTATAGAACAAAGAACCTTTGCCAAACATATGTGTGTTCTATTTTATTTTATTTTTTTTTAAACCGCAAGCCCTTTAGAATTCTGGGGATTGTCACCCGGTATTTTAAGAGGTTATTACTGGGGATGAAATAATTTCCATACATTCTTATAAGGAGATAAAAACTACTAGACATTCCTTTTAACTAAAGTGTATTAAAGAATTACCCATGACACTCTATTTAAGAAATAAGAGTTCTTCTGGTCTTTTTCTTATAATATTTATCTTGGTAGATTTGAGAGTTTAAGTACATACTATGCAAATACAGGCAAATTGTTCTGAAGCCCTTTTCTTTGAAGAGTTGTGCTGGAATGTGTCTGCCTTCCAAGACACACATATTTCTAAATGCACACGAATAGAAAAATCCCAGATTTTCTTCGGTGGATTTCCAGAGTTAATGGAACTGGTACACTTTCAAGGAAGTGGGTTTCATGAACAGTGTATTAAATAAGCAAGGTATGTGTAATAAAATATATAAAGAGTAGACTCAGGAAACTCCTGTAATGAGTAAATACTGATGTTAATTAAAGAATATGTAGTTAATGTCACCTTTCAAATAATTTTGAAGCTAACATACAATGTAAAGGATTTCATTATATTTTCATAAATAAATCTATGTCTGCAGCTCCTTCACCTTTCTTCTACTTCCTGATATTCTTCCTCCTCAGATATGTTCCTCCTCTCAGATGCTTTCCTCCTCTCAGATACTCCCCTCCTCTCAGATTCTCCCTTCCTCTCAGATGCTCCTCTCCTCTCAAATACTCTCTTCCTCTCATGTTCCTTGTATTTGTTCCGTATTCTTTCTACCTTAACGTTTTTTCCCTTAAGATTTCTTTCTCTCCTCTCATGACTTTCTTTCTATCTTGATATCTTCACACACACACACACACACACACACACACACACCTTCAATAATGTGATTTATACTTAGAATAGCTAGAGCATTTTACTTGAAAGGCTGTGCCATGCCTTCCAGTCAGGAGGGAATTGGTGTGACACCTGCTAAGATGGCCATTTAGCTTCAAAATGTTTAAGTCTTTTAAGAAAAGTTAAAATGTTATCTTTCTTTCCTTCTTAATTCACAGTAGATTGTGAGTTAAATTTTGCTTTCTTGACACTTTCTCCAAGACAGACATAAAATTCTCAATTTTACATGTGAGTTATTTTGGCAGAACCATTTCTAAGAAATTCAAAATTATTTTATGCAATAAAGAAAAAATTAAGTTAAAGGGGATCAAAATATAATTAGATAATTTTATGAAAATCATTTATTCATTCTAATAAGTAACAGCAATGGGTGAAAAATTCTAAGTGTTCTTAGTGAACAAATTACTCTCTCATTTATTTCTTACATGTGAAGCTACTTTAATTCTTTTTGTTTGAACACAAATTATTTTTTCCTTACATATTTTATGCCTATTATATTAAATTCAGATTGATAATAACTCAGTGTTGAGGTTTGCTGATGTACTTCCTGTTACGGAGCTCTGGTCCAGTCAAGAGCAAATATCCATCTATTTAACATTAAGGAGAATGGCCAACAAATAACTTTTATTCCCATGACATTTGTAACTTTTTATTAATGTCAATAAAACAATCAATTTTCTAAGTACAATATGGCATAATTTTGCTCATAAGCAAAGAAACATCCTCAGATGTAATATTTTAAGTTTAGCAGAATTTTTCTTTCAAGCTCTGGTAGCCAAACACTTTTAATGTCTCATTCATTGTTGTAAAATAATAATAGAATTTATAAAAAGGTGCAGGAGATGATTTGGTCTTATTAAGTGTATTGATCATACTTTGTGGGGATGCAGAACATGGGATGTAGGTTGTCAATGGTTTGACTAAGATATCAAAAGCCAGCTCCCTTTGGGTGTATCAGGTAGGAAGGATCCCAGGCTGTTGACTCTGCAAGATGAAGTTGGGCCTTAAACAGTGTGAAGACATAAAGCAAAGCAGTGTGGCTCTGAGCAACATAGCTGTCTGTGTCCCAGCATCCTCATCTATCAGGTGGAGATCGTGCTGTGCTGCAGAGAGGCATGGAGACGGTGCTGACTGTACAGAATGTCACAGAGCAGCTGCTGTCCCGTGTCAACACATACCATACTTTGCAAACACACAGAGAGAGTCTCAATGGCACGCTGACCAATTCCAATTTCATTTAGCAAGTGGTGGAAGTGTCTGTGTTTATATCCAACTAGATTTACTAAGAGAGAATGGTATGACCTGACAAATTTGTACAACACTTAAAGTTATCTGACTTTCTAACTTGCCTTTGGGAATTTCAAGGTAAAATCAACATATCACAGACAGGGCAGTCCCTTTCAGTTGGCATCATTGCTGACAACACACCCACCCTTGGACTTCTGAGTGAACAGGTCACTCATAGCTGGGTCAAAATCAACTTGGGAATTAATAATTTTAAATCCCCTGGTAGGTAATATCTTTTTTCTGTATATAAAATTTTGTCAAATAGAGAAAGGAAAACTAAAAAACAAGCAACTAAAATGGGTATTTTGGCCCATACACAAATCCTCTAGTCTTTAATCTACAAGTTTTTTTCCCCACGTTTCCCATGGTCCAAATGAAATCTTTTTCTAGTAATGCAGTAGATGGTTCAGAACCATCCACGTTTTCACTATTCCTAAAAATGTCAGTGAATAGATAGCACTTGGGAATTGCAGAGGTCATGGAACCCATGTGCCTCTCAGAGTATATCACAGGTGTACAGGGTGTGTCAGAATAGGTTCCAGCAAATACAGATCCCTTCACAAACCCACAAGCACCTGAGAAATGCAGTTCTTAGGTGTTCTCAAGTATTCCCAATTTCCTTAATGATAGTGCCATCTTGTACAAGACTTATTTCATGAGACATTTCTATCACACCTAAGTTCTTATTGACAATTATTGTTTTGACCAAGTATTACGATAGATTAGACTAAACATTCAAATGTAAACAAAGACTGGTTGTATATAGCAAGTGTCAGTGAGACTTCTCAGTTTTACTTACTTGCAGTAAGCTGACACTATTGCTCTCTCCAGATGTGTCTCTCAGCCTGTAACTGTGGCCTGGTTTTCCATCTGCAGATCCCATGAGTACCAAAAACCACAGAGCCAGTACAGCATCCATGGGAACATGGGACTGAGTGAGACTTCCTCTTCTGGCATAGGAGGTTATAGGAATGTCTGTTGGTGGACATTAAATAAGAGCACCTCTTTTACCTAACCTCTTATTTGCAATGTTCCCCTGGTCCATGTCCACTATAGTTATCCTTGGGACACTGAACCTGTAGACATCGGGATATGAGTAGATTAAATAAAAGATATCAAACTGAACTCTAATTTCTTAAACAAACCTATTTATACAGGCCATTCTCAATTATTGCATATGATACCACCCAAAGTACATTTTTACATATAAGATGAACAAACTAAATATTGCCAAATCAAACAACTGTGATGCACTCTTTGGTTATAAACTGGTGTTGAATTACTCTGAATATTTCTAGGTACATGCACAGGAGTTTTGACCTTTCCAGTTAAAAGGAATTTTTTTTGGAAGATTCAAGAAAAAGTAGCTCACTAAATTCTCCTTTGCAGCTGTGTCTGCCAGAATAGTGAGTGGAATGGCCTGTCAACCTGAATGAGTTAGTACCAGAGCACTCTTGCTGTCCTGAGGAGCAAAATATTCACCCCTATGGTCACCGTATTTGATTCTTCTCTGCTTTGTCAGCTTGGGCAGAGTCTACATCCGTATGGAATGGTCATATATTTTCTGCATCAGGGAATGACCAGAAAACTCACCCTGCCCAAAAGTTTTATGAACAATGTCTGTAACCATGCCCCAACTCTGATATTGGAAGTGGGGTTTTCCTAGCAAAGCACTTAGATAAATTATTTTCTCCCAGTTACCTGAAACCTTGGTACTTTTGTGTGAAAACATAACTAAAATCCTTCTCTTGTGGGAGCTGATGAAGTCTATTCAATGGCAGAAGGGCACTGGAATTTAGTGATGTCTCCTTTTGGACCCACATCTTTCCCTGATGTGGCCAGTTGTTAGTCACATCTACTCTCTGTTTTTGTTACTGGCCCTCCTGCTCATCCATCTTTACCATACACCTCTAGGGCTTTTCAACCTCAGCCATCGTTCTTTTAAAACCTTTCTTACAAGGATGTAGAAGTAAATTAAGTTTGTGGGAAACATAAGGAAAAGGAGTTCTACAGTTTGAGAAATCGGATAGTTTTGTGAAATACAAGGTACAAGAATAATTCAACTTCATGTAGGAGTGGAGATGGCTGGCTGCTTCTGTCAAGCCTTCATTAACAGGAAGAAGGAAGAATTCATGTCCTATGGTGTAATAAACTATCCCTGTTGGTTAGAAGAGGCAAGGAACTCCAGATCATAAATTTATCAAAAAAAGGCCAATATTTGATGAAGGTAATGTAAAGGCTTACGTTTGAAGCAGTATTCTGTTGTATGAAATCAGTGTAACAAAGTCTGAAGGTGAGTTTTAAAAGAATCATTTATTTATATCTAAGCCTGAATTAAATCGCATCTAATAATGTTGGTAAGATTACACTTTATTACCTCATTTTGGCAGCTCTCCTTGAATATCAAGCCAGGGTGTACATCACTTATCCTATGTGTTACTTGAGACATCTTAAAATAAAGGAGAAAATAAAGAATTAGAACTGATCTCATTTCCTCTTGTAGCTCTTTCATGGGCCAAAGGAGCTTAGAGCCTGGGTGTCTGAGGAGTGAGGTGGGTTAGGCCTTGATGAAGGCTGCCTTTCCTGGTAACTGAACTAAATAAACTAGGATAGTTGAGCTTTTCCACTGAGTTTTGTATTTGCTGCTCACTACAGATTGCTGTTGTGGCCACCTTGTGAATTCTCCAAACTGGCTAATTTTCCTTGCCTTATATTTAGAATAGAACTAAATAATTGAGTCCAAGGCCTGCATTATCTGTGGGATAATGGGAAAAAAAGGATGTCATGTAAGTATGAGCAGAAAATTAGACCAACCCTCTGGACTAGAAGAGCTGTGACGCTTCACTCCAGGAAGCTAAATGCAAAGACAGTGACTTGGAACTCTCTTGGCAGTTTAGGACAGTGAGTGTCCTGCTGTGGTGATACAACATGACCAAAAGTGAGTTGGCAAAGAAAGGGTTTACTTGATTGATATATTCTGAATGACAATCCATTAAGGGAAACCAAAGCAGGAGCTCAAACTGGGGAGGAACATGGAAGTAGGAGCTGATGCAGAGGCCATGGGGGAGTATTGCTTACTGGCCTGCTCCTCTTGGCTTGCTCAGTCTGCTTTCTTATAGAACCCAGGGCTACTATCCCAGGAGTGGCCCCACCCACAATACATTAATTAAAATGGCCTACATCCAGATCTTAGGCAAGCAATTTCTAAATTGATGTTCCCTCCTCTTAGATGACTACAGCTTGTGTCAAGTTGATATAAAACTAGCTAACATAAAAAAGTATAATTTATTTAATGCCGCTGGCTTATTCCCTGAGAGCCAACACTTAAATGTAAACTTGGGAGGAAATTTTAAGTGAGAAAAAAATCTAATCTGTTTAGTGTAACTGCTGTATAATGTAGAGACTACCTTCTTTAAAGCCTCGGCATGAGGGAAGCTTTGTCCTGCTTTGCCTACTGAACTGCTTGCTGAATTCCCAAGATATCTGTGGACTCTTTCACAATCCATTAGAAAATATTAAATTTGTATTTTTTGTTCATGGCTTTCTTTTTGCCTGCAAATGAAGGTATTAAAAAAGGTATTTATTGACAGCAATATGTTTTATTTGATTTGCATGAGATTGTAAGATTTCAAAGATGTTTATACTTCTTCAAAGATCCAAACACATCATTTCATGACAGAGAGAGTAGGGAACAGAGAAGGGGGTGGAAGAGGGGATGTTGTAGATATTGTCTCTTTCTATGATAAAACACTGACTGAAATCAACTCTGGGAGGAAAGGGTTTATTTGACTTTCATGTCTGCATCACAGTTCATCATTAGAGGAAGCCACAGTAGGAGCATAAAGCAGGAACCTGAATGCAGGAACTAAAGCTGAGATCCTGAAGGAATGCTGCTTGCTCCCCAAGGCTTGCACAGTCTGCTTCCTTATACCAGAACCAACAGCCCAGGGGTGGCACTGTGCACAGTAATCTAGGTCCTCCCACATCAATTGTTAATGCCCCATAGGTATGCATAAAGATCATGCTGATAGAAGCAATATGCCTCAGTTAGGTTCCCTCCTCCCTGGTGATCCTACTTTATGTCAAGTTGACAAAAATTAATCAAGATTGAAAAGAGAGAGGTTGGAGGGGGAAGAAAAGGAAAGGAAAGAAAAAAGAAAAGAAAAAAAAGCAAGAGAGGGAAGAGGGAAAGAAGGGAGGGAGAGGAGGAAAGAGACAGAAAATGTATAACTTCCAAGTTGCAGGAACTCTAGCCAGGCATGTGCAGGGGGGCCGAGGTAAGGGGGTGAGATGAGGAAGATTGGCAAAGGTTTGTATCAAGATGACTTTTTTTGTGTGCTGACTGTTGACTGCTTAATAAAATCCACACTGTATAATTATATCTTAATGTGCTACGATGCCTTTTTTGAAGTCTGTATTTCTGTAACGATGCTTTATTTTTCCCACAGCCAGACTATCAGTGGAATGCTCTTAACCAGACTCCTCCACATGTACAGCAAAAGGCACATGGTAAGAGCACAGCTTTAATGGGCATTCTTTCATGTTTACATACGAGTGGGATTTTGGGGGAGGCTTATTCAATATTTGTTTGTACTAGGGAGGACTTCCTGTGAAGGTCTGTCACACACACACACACTTCTAATTTGGTGGTCTGGTGTGAACTCCTCCAGACAATGTTGACATGATGAAAGGAACGTGTGCCTTGGTTCTCTCTTCTGCTCCTATTCCAGGCTCAAAGTCAGAGTTAGAAATGAAAACATAAAGTGGAGCCATACCCAGTAACATCAACAGCACTCTAATTCTACCCCAAAGGACAAGTGCACACCCGCAGCCCAAGAGGAGTCAAGGCAGACTCTTGTTCATTTTGTTTTGAGATGTGGTCTCAGGTAGACTAATAGCTTCAAACTCACTCTTTAGCTAAGGACAAGCTTGAATTCCCGCTACTGTTGTGTCCTAAGAGCCAGCATTTCAGGTGTGCATCACCAAGCCCAGCAAAGCAGATGTTTCAAATGTCGTTGGCATACAAAGGTACCCCAAAGCTCAGAACGGTATTCCCTTGAGATGTGATGCCAGATTCTAAGGAAACAGTCTGTTCTGTTCTGCCAGATGCCCATGGTACTCATCTCACACAATGCTTCCTCCACATGTAACCACAAGGCACGTGGTAAAGTAGGAAAAATACTGAATGCAAAATACTCAAGACTGAAAATTGTTGTAGGAGGACGCGGACCTGCTTTTCATCCTGGCCGCCCAGCTCCCGACCGCCTGGCTAGCTTAACCCCCGAAATAATGACACAGAAATTGTATTAAATTAAATTACTGCCTGGCCCATTAGCTCTAGGCTGTTTTTGGCTAACTCTCACATCTTGATTAACCCATCTCCATTAATGTGTATCACCACTTGACTGTGGATTACCAGCATGAGTCTAACCAGTGTCCATCTTGGGCAGGAGAATCATGGTGTCTGCCACTCTGCCCTTCTTCCCAGCATTCTGTTCTGTCTATTCCACCCACTTAAGGGCCACCCTATAAAAAGGCCAAGGCAGTCTCTTTATTCAACCAATGAAAGCAACCAACACAAATACAGAAGGGCCTCCTATACCATTTCCCCTTTTTCTGTTTAAACAAAAAGGAAGGCTTTAACATAGTAAAATGACATATAACAGGTATCAAGCAACGATTGCAGTTACAATATTTAGATCTATTTTATCTTTTATCTTAACAAAGGAAAAGTGTAACTATCAATTCTTCAACTCCATCAAAGACTCCAGAATGATATAATATTACTTAAATAAACAAGAAACAAGCATCTTTCAAAACTCTAGAATTGACAGAGACATCTTGCTGCCTGTACAGTCACCCAGAGTTTTTTGTACCATTGGGACATCCATCTTCAGCCTACAGGCCCATAGTATCCAGCAGAAATTTCCATCAAGTTGGAAATTTCAAAGATAGTTTAGTCATTTTCTTCTGTATCCTGCAGAATGGCTTGCAGACTCTTTCATGAAGCAGGAACCCCGAAGGATCATCTCACCTTTAGGCAAGTTCAGCAGTCCTCTCTCTGCAGGTTCTCTGTGTCCAGCTTATGCAACAGTCCAGGCAAGAGCAGTGTCTTGCCCAAATATCTATCAAACTCCATAAGGAGCCTCTTCGATGCCCCTCTTCCTCTTGAAGTAGATTGGTGCTTCCAGGAGCAGACGTGTCTCATTGTCATTAAAAGCCTTAAGTTATTAAAACATTAAATGCCGTATTCCATAGTCTTTGAAAGATATGAAGAATGCCTACCTAACTGAAATATATCTCTATATATCTAAAAATCTAACTAACATGACTAAAAGCTTTTCTATTATTGATGATTATCCATTAACAAGATCAGAAATACATATACACATAACAAAATTGACCTTAAATTTATATCACTAAAGCAAAATCCATACCAATGCAAATTATCCATATCTATATCATATCCCCCTTTAAATGTAAAAGAACATTTATAAACAATATTTGGGAATATGGGTGCAGTTTTTTCTTTCCAAACTGCTTTGTGCTGAATGGGGGCGCTGTTAATCAGGTCTTTCATGGTATATCCTATGTGGTAGGTTCATCTCTGTCACCAGTTCAGTGAAGTAATTTTCTGAAGGTGTTCACAGCAACCTTTCAGGAGTGCGGGGTCCATGAACCATATTATTGGTCTGGAAGCAATCCATGGGTTCTCATCTTCTATGAAAACAAAAGAACCTCTTTTCCAAAGCATCATATCCTTAGACCCAAATTCTGAAGTAATAATACCTTTATAATATACATGCTGGATTAGCTTAGTCCATACAATGAAATGTGTCTCTGTACTTAGCTCCTTTACAGTCAAAAATTCAAAGAAAACACAATAAAACACAGAATCCAGACTCTCTGTGAATTTTCCATTTTTACGTGGCTTTTTTTAAATCTATGACTATCTGTACTCTGTCTCTTTTAAGACTTTACCATTTTTTTAAAAAACATTAACTTTATTTTATGACTTTCTATACTCCTTATTTTTTTTCTCTTTTAAGCCTACTACGCACCTTTATTCAACAGTGTGACCCATTTAGAGGTATTTTATGTCTGAATCTGTCCTATTGTGAATCTTTAATTCTTTGCTATCCAGGAGCACTTCTTAAAATGATAAGTGCTTCTTAAAAACTTTAGCTTCTGCCATGTAGGGGTAATATGATAGTGTCTGTTCCCTTCCCAGTCTAAACCTTAACTGTGCTGTTATTATGATAATTATAATAGTTCCTGCCTGAGGTCAACACAGTTCAGCATGGCAGAGTCGCTCCAGCCTCAGAGCAATTTGGTGCCCATGAGTCGCATACAGTTCCAGGCACACAGCAGTTCACATTGCCATCAAGCAAGCTGTAGCACTTTACTCACAAAACCCCATCCAAATTCTCTGTCTCCCACAAGAGACAGAGGTTGTGGTAGGAGCATAGCCCAGAAAACCGGCATTTTAAAACTGCGTGACTTTTTCCCCCCTCCTCCAGGTAGGAGTCACACACAGCAATTTAACTCTGAGAATGAGCTTTTCATCTGAGTTACAGCCAAATCTACCAGACAGAGAGCACTATGCAGCCTGGAAACATCTCTGTGTATGTCGGTGAGAATCAGCCAGGCTCTCCCACTTGAGCATGCCTAGTGGACCTGATTCCTGGTAGGCAGGGAGCATCCAGCCACAGGCATGGTTTCAGTTACTTTGCTTCCGACCCCGAGTGGGCACACAAACATCTGGGCCCACAAATGCTTCATAGCTGGAGTTTGTACCAACGGCAGTGCCCAGGAAACCTTGTTTTAAAATGTCACGGCTTTCTGAGAGATTGTTGAGCACCAAAGACACTCTACTTGGAGCTTGTCTTCTTGGCAAAACCGGCCTCTGGGCAAGGAACTGCCCATTGCTCAACTACTGACAAAATACATAGTATCCAGAAATGGATAAGCAGAACTGTCAAATCTTGCCAAGACAGGGTAAGATGGTTTTGAAAATTTTCTTGCCTTTAAAAATAATCTGTTAGTTATTCTAGGCCTTAGCCAAAGATGGTTGCTTCAATGCTGCAACCATGACTTTGGATGATTGCCCAGGTAATCAGTTGTCTCTGTGATTTGTGGCATGTTTTGGAAGTTGTTTGATTGCACGTCCTAATTACTCAGGTAATATTATTTCCCTTCTCAGATCTTTGATGGGGTTGAAGACTAGATAAATTTAGTTACTTTCTTCTCTTGACTTAGCCAAGTTATTTATTATACAAGTCTTAAGCTAGTTAGAATAGGATATTTGTTCTTATTGTATATAATTCTGTAGTAGGTTTAGAACTCTCTTACTTAAACAAAATGGGGAAGTGATGCAGAAGCTCCTTCTGCTCCTTCAGTCAATAGCCGTTGAGATAACAGTCTACTGGGGCATGGTCTCTTTTTCTTTAAAAAGCAGTGGAATTCCTCCATTCTCTCTCTTGCTCCAGTGACTAGACTACTTTCTTGGATGTCATATAGGATGGTGTTCTGTATGTTTTTCCCGCTCAAATAACCCTTTGAATCCAAACGGGTGTGGGACTGCTTCACCCTTTAGAAAATGCCTGTCAGGCTCATTTTTCTTTGCTTTACTGGTCTCCCCTTCTCTCTAGAATCAGCCCTACTTTCTGCTTGTTTGAACAGTACCTTTAGGTCTTCCAGGAGTGGGTATTTTGAATGGAATTATAAGTAGAGTCCCTCCGCTATTCTCATCCATTTAAAGCCTTCTAGTGTTCATTTTCAGAGATGTGTATTTTTCTAGAAGCCTCAAGAGAAGCTCTGTAGCTTTAACTTGTACTTGAAATGCTATCACATTGAATTCCAAGTTGAGATAATTTTAGTTGTTAACATACTCCACCCCTCCTGCTCTGATATCTGCAGTGCACATTGCCTCTCTCTTGGCCCAGTATCAATACATGCCCACAGGTCTCTGTGACAAATATCCTATGTTCTTGGCATCTCCAATATTTAGAGTCTCTGTGGCCACCTTGGCTCTACCTTCACAGCTTTACCAAATGGTCTCTGAAGACCTGCTTGCAGGGACTTTGATCCTGCCACACATTGCCTGACCTCAGCTGCTCTCTGAAACCACAGAATGGAGCAGAACTCCATGACATTTGCAACCTGTCTTTCCTGCCTCTAACCCAACACTGTGTGGATTACATTGCCAAGCTCTGCTGCCATCAATAGATGTAACCTGGGGCAATTAGACCACAGTTACATCAGCTTCTGTGCTCTGAGCCTGGCAAAGCTCTCTGTTGCGTTTCCACTAACTCCTTTGGATGTTTTCTCAGTTCAGGCTTTCTCCTTTCATGTAAATTTGAATTGTAATAAATTGGAACCTTTAATGAGTGGGTCTTATTTTGAAGTCACATTTTATATTGGTTCTAATTCCGAGTGCCATCTTTCTTATCAGTGGAGCTGTTCTTCTGAAAAATCAGAGCTGTTTCTTTGCCTGCACTCTGTATGTG